ATTAGCACAAGTAGCCGCCCACACCTACAAAACGGAGAATGAGTTTAACTTTGCAGCCACCAAAAGTGGTCGTCCCCGCCGGAAATAAAACAGGCCGAGCACTGAATAAAACCTGGGTCTCGGATGTGAACTCAGCCAGTCGACTTATCGATCTGGCGCCGGTGTACAGAGCCCTGCGCAGTCACCTCCAATCTTGCCCTGTTGGTGGATGATTGGTTAACACGCCCTATAAGTGTCGCTCGTCCCGTTGCTGCTCCTATCTCTGACAGTGGAACCGTGCACGAGTTAGAAAACTCGGAACAACAAACAGAATTTCAAGCATTTTGTCTACAGTACGAAAATGAAGCCGGCAAGCAGGGCAGGATTTGATGGTGCCAAAAAATTTCGTGACGACTCGTTAGCTACGTTCTGTCGCCTCATAAAATAGATAACGCGTGGGAAGAATATAACAGATTTGAATTCGTGCAAAATATCAATGCAGAATCAACAAGGTCATGGTGTTGTGTAAAGCTGGCTAATCTATAAAGTTAGCAACTCAAACACCGTATGAGGAGGATAGTGGGAAAAAGACGTTAACGATCAAAAAGAAAGAAGAAGTGAAAATCATGTAGCAAAAGGCTACCATGGCAAGGTTAGGCTAACCACGTGTTCCTGCTGATTACAAAGATCTGGTTTTACCTGCCGTATATAGGCCGCTTTCAGGTAACGCAATGTCCGAGCTGTTTGTGCCCGAACAAGTATTCGGAAGGACGTTTTAAGGTCGACGGAGTGATCACTATCAAGCAAGTGTTTGGAGGCACACGGGACTTTATTTTCTTGTTTTAGGAGCCATCCGGGCAGATGCCCAATAGACCTGGCTTCTAACTGCCTTTGCGTTCGCCCAATGTACTTGCATCCGAAAGTGCATGTGAAGTCATAAACAGAATTTGAAGTAGCGTGCATTGGCAAGGCATCCTCCACCCGTGGAATTGGAAGGTGCTTACTAGGACTATATAATACGATTTGACTGCATTGTATTTCCTTTTAATGGCGGAATGCAGCCGTCTTTTGTTAATATTTAAAAACTCTTCGCTGTTAAAGGGCAATGATATAAAAGCGGGCTTTTCGGAAATGAATGCTGTCAAATTTGGCCGTGTAGAGTCGTACGTGTGGATGAAACATGCAGGATATCCACGTTTAAGCAGAGTTTCCTTGAGGCGTACAAGTTCTGCATTCAGTGCGTCATCGGAGCAAATTTTCCTAGTCCTTTGGAAAAGTGTGTATACCAAGTTCCGTTTTCATTTTATGGGTACAAAACTCAAAAATGCAAAAAAATGCGCCTTCCAAGTAATCTTGTGGAACACGGAAGGTCTTATGGAACCATCTTCCTGTCTACACATAAGAACGTCCATGAAGGATAGTTGATTGTCTTCTTCTCCCCCCATTGTAAAGTTGATCCTTGGATGTAGTTTACTGACAATAGCAAACAATTCTTAGAACTTCCCTAATGGATTCAGAAATAGCGATAACATCATCCACGGTTTTTAGAGAGGTGGCATGTTCAATTTCGTGGACACTTCTCTTCTTCTAGATGCCCCATAAAGATGTCAACAAAGAGAGGGCCGAAAGGACTTCCCATTGCCACTCCGTTGATTTGTCCATATAAATGGCTGTTCAAAAGAAATCGAACGTTCTTTGCGTACAATTTTAATGCATCTCGTATCGGTTCAGGTGGCAGACAAGTTTCAGACGCATGGGTACATATGATGTCAATTGTCTCACCCAGTGGCATGTTAATGAAAAGTAGAAGGACGCAGCTGACAATCCGTCCCGAAATATTTTGGTACCATTAAATTCTGCCCTGCTTGCCTGCTTCAAGAAACAGAATGTTCCGGTACTCGACCACCCTTTTTCTTCTTCTTCACTTGTACTTACACCTGAAACTCGAACTTCTGCCTTAATTAATTAGGATATATATCACGTGACTCATCTCATGAAACCTGATAACGAGACTGATGTGAGAATTTCTGGACGTCCTAAACGTCGCCCATTTTGCTCGCTCATCCAGCCACTTCAGGGAAATGTCCTTTTCTTCTGCAGAAGTTGTGGTCACCTAATTATATTAAGCAAAATGTTTATAACATTTGGCGAACATGGACGCTGCGACATATTTGTTCGATTTCCTATGCTGATACCTGTCCTAGACTTCGGTTGACATCTGGGTGGGTTTTCATTGAAAGCAGATTAATTTACTTGCGACAGTTTTTATAAACAGAGAGTACCGGACCTGAAAATTTATTTTTTTGTCCAACTGTAGCCGTGGTAATCGACTTGCTTACACAACGGCTATTTTAAGAAAACCAAATTTTTTATTGATTTTGGAAGTCATATTAGCATTTCTGAGCGACTTGGTGCCCTGAAGCACAGAAACAACGCACGCAGGGGATCCTTCGTTTAAATAGGCTGAAATTTTTTAGCCGTTTGGAAAATTTCACGTGATGCCACAGAAATGACCATCACCAAATGGTCGTTTCTAGATCTTAACATATGAAACATCATTTGTCGCGTAGTCTACCTTCTTCACATAACCTTTTCAGAAGCGGAACGAGCAAAGCATTTACAGTTTCAGCAAAATATCAGTATTTATATGGACACTCAGCCCTGCATTTGTAATCGCAGAACGGAGTCTACAGGCGAGCAAAATCAGTGGAAATATTATTTTGTTTAAGAACGTGAACGAAACGGCTTAAAGTGTAAAATTGTTTCTTGGCCTCATCGTGCAAAAATGCAAAGTACACAGAGATCCATCAACAGGGTGCAGGTCTAAAGCACTTCTCAAAGAGGCAACTTATGAGAGAAAGTTTTCTAATTCATCGAAAACACATTCGTTGCTGACTTTCGTTGTGAGTGGCTATTCTATTCGAAAATGAAGTGTCATGTTTGAATTAGTTTTCAACTGTGACCCAAACGACATCCTTCATGAAAACGATGGCCTAAACACTCGCTACTTCGGTAAATGCCTTCAAAAGTATCTTATTTTAAAGTTTTTAACAGATACATGATACAGAGTCGTCTTTATGGGCGACCGGCAAAAACACTGAAAATCATGAAGTTTTCAGCAATATTTCAAAACCCATGTGAAACTCAATGTAATCTAAAACAGAAGAAAGGTGTAAATTAATGTAACGGAAAAAAGTTCTGTGCAATGATTTACTGCACTAACCGCACAGGTACTAGCTAAAAGCCCAGACACGCAGTGCATTAATTTCCCCGGAACGTAAACAAGGCAAGGAAAAAAGTTCTCTCTATAAACGCAAAATGGCATGTTTACGATCACGCCTGTCAGTTACATTTAAACTCATTAGTTACTGCTCGGCCTGACAGCATGTGACCTTATGGAGACTTCTGCTTCTGTGACGTGCCCGTCGGTGAAATCAAGCAAACTCCCCTTTCTTTTGTTAAACTGCATCTCATTCAACGCAAACGAGTTAATACCACGAATCTCCGGAATACTGTTTTGGAAACTAAACTCAGAATGGGGGCTGTTGACAAACCGTCATACATGAAATTACACTAATTCTTATAGGATATTTAGATGTAAACTTCGCTAAAACAGAATTTTTAAAGTTATTTCACATTTACCTGGTTATTTGCATTAGAAGGCATTCTGTACGACTTAAAACAAAGTCCACTAAATTAAAACCATTTTTTATGTTTTTGGGATTTTGCGCCTTTCTAAAAACTCGGCATTTCAAAGCAAAGCAACACTGCCTTTAATATTTCTTTCATGTTTTCTAATTATTTTAAAGTTGCATTTAGTTACTATACATATTGGACGTATTAATTGGTGTTGGTTTTTGATTAATTGGAAGTCATTCGTAAATTTCGACACCTTTCATGAGTCAGGTCATCTACTCTAATAGATTTGTAGCTGTGAATGTATTCAGAAACCAACTAAAGGTGCTCCGAAAAGTTCGATAAAACTGCTTTTCTAGGAATGTGAACGTCAATTATACATTTCGCATGCTTGCATCTTACGCATTGATCAAAAGTTTCATTTGTAATATTCGAAAGAGTCACAACGTTTTACGCAAAACATACAAGCGTCTGAAGCATAACAGACCATCTAACAGGCCTTCTGACTTTTGTAATAAGATCGATGGAAACCATACTAGCACAAAGGAGCGTGTTTAACTTGCGGCCCCAAACTTAAATGTGCAACAAGGCACTGTAATAAATGATGACATTGGATGACTGATCAATGGCAATTCGGTGGGCATACATGGTAAATGGTCACTTTAAAAGCGGACAGGGAATGTGTAAAGATTTCCCTGTTAATTCTTCATGATTTACTTGGACGCTTTATACGTCAGGGGGTCTTAAACCTACCGGTTTAATTTTGCCGCTACGAAGACAGCGGACTCCACGGGAACTCAGTATCCAGTTACTTCGAATCATGAGTATAAAACCTTTGCTAATCTGGTAAAACATAGATCAACTCATATCTATCGTACATGGTGAAATTCTTGACAAAACAAATTGTCTGACAAACAAGGTGACTGTTTGGATCCCGAATGACCGAACGCACTCTGGTAGTAAAAATTAATTGTGTAACATATGCTTTTGCAAAGTAACCGAAACGACCGACACGTAATTTCATACTAGATGACACCGAATTTCTCCTCCCAAATAGCCTGTTTGATATTAAACGCTTGCTAAACCATAAACTTCCAGTCCGAAACACAACTGTACTCGCTGAAAACTGTCAGCTGAATCGTTGAGAACTTTATGGTTTCAGAATCGGATGGGTTGTTCAAAAAAACACAATGTCTCTCACGGAGGCGGTTGCCGGCATAGCAACAGATAACGAATGCGAGACTGCCAGCCCTTACGCATGCTGTAAAAGGACAATGGAATCCAACAGATATCATGGCTTTCTGTGTGATTGTTTTCCTGATAGTCGACTCCAGTGCAAATCCGAAAGTCCAGAGAATTAAGAACATTGTCGCAGACCAGACCAGATGTCAATTTATGCCAAAGGCAATTTTCCGAACTCCTGGGTGGCCCCTCTTTCATCCAAGGTTAGTAAGAATTGATTTCCAGCAGGCGTGTTTGAAAACGCCGATTTTATTTTCATCCATATTTTCCGAGTCTATTTTTAAATATCCTCTAGGATATCAATTGTTTAGTGTGGTAGAAGGATCCTTCTATGCAGTAATACTTTGCACACCTCCGTCCAATGACAGTAACGAAGACGGTCAAAATCGCGTGCTTGTACTTCTTCGTATGCTCGCCAAATGGATTTGAAAGCGGTTATTGTATTCGTTGGCCTTCTCAGGAAAATGTGGTTTATTGTGCCATCCCAAAATAAAAGACAACCCACTTGTAGAAAAACACTGTTCTGCAAACTTTGACCTCGTCAATAAAAGCACGTTACTAATTATACGCAGGGCAGTGAATTCTGTCATTACCGCCCTGGAAAATAAAAATCTCCTTCAGTAGAGGCTTCCAAGACCGAATTTTCTGAGTTTCTTAAATCCGTTTGTTATTAATTTTTCATTTTCAAGCCAGTTGGTTTGTTGATAGTCGCCGCATAATACGTTTAAGATACATTCAGAAAATTATCATCCTCATGCACGCCGCAGTCATTATTAACGGCAAAGTTGCCGTAAACTTCAAGTGGACAGTACTGTCTTCCATTTTCTTCAAGCCAACGCCCTGGCTTTTGACGTCCAACTCTGGCTTTGTTATCGACGGAATCTGAAGATGCTAATAGGCTTAGTTCTTTTAATGCTTTTTGACCTATTAATCTGCGTAACTGCCGTCAGGAAGCTCTAGTTACTGGTTCCAGATGTGGTGTTTCACACTGCTCGTTTACGTATTGGTTTCGCAGCGAGGCAACTTTGAATTTTCACGGCCTTGTGTACGTTTGGCGCCGCGTGAAGAGGAACCCCGTTTGAGAATTTCCTAACGAAATCGAAAAACCTTTTAGCGATTTGCATAGAAGATTATCTCAGTATCATTCCATGCGTACTTCGATGGTCTTTTCAACATTAAATGAGTATAAAATTGGGAGGAAGGAGGCGTCGGGGGAAATAATCAGCGAGATTTTTTTTATTTACATTACTCAGAGAGAATTCGCTATCGAGACATCAATTATGGATAGACAAAACGAGTTCCTGACAAAATGGTCCATCAAGTTATCTAGGTACTGTTGTCGATGTTATAGGATTGCGTCGATCACACCAAACCATAGGCCATACAATTGCTGTCAAAAAGTAATTAAGCAATCATTTTATAGAAGGTCGCTTCTAACATGCAAAAAGAAGTAACGAAAAAAATACCCTGAGTGTCCAGCTGTCCAGTGCTGCTGCACGTAACAACACAGACGCCGTGTTACCTTAACGTTTAAAATATTCGAATTTATTGATAAGCACATGTTGGCGGGGAAATCTGATGACAGAATGATGCAAATTATGCGGAATTTAGGCCGTACTGAAACACGCATTCTGGCGAATAATCGCTATATTTTGGACTGGTCGTCTGTCAGGAAACGGCCACCTACCTTTACGGGCCTTTTTACCCGCGAAACAGTTCCTATTGAGAGACACAGCAAGGGGACTATGAGATGGGACGTTTCTGCGACGATATTCTCTGTTCAAAACTAATCCTGTAGGCCAGCGGGTGTTCACACGGGGTAAATCGATAAAACAGCGGATGAATACCAGACCGAGACTCCAAACAGCCCGCCGACTGTTTCGTGTGTTTTATCAGGCCAAAAGATCAGACAGGCACAGTGAGTGGCTGATCTCATGAAATATTAGCCGGAATACCGAAATGAGCTTTCGATTAGGAGAGATAACGTAGGCTGAGCTATACTATTAAGTGCCGTGCGACATAATCTTAGGACATTTTAAATTCGCCAGAAAGTTGGCTTTTGAACGCACTGCAATCGGTAAAAAATGATCAATTTAGTATGTATTTTTAACATGGGCTTTCGGCGGTCTTATAAGTTCAAATATAGTTTTCAGAAAACATGCACAAAAGACGTTTTCTTTTACACGTTGGGTAGAAAATGACGTTGTCTTCACATTTCACGCTCTAAGAAAGGATATACTTTGATTCTAAATGAATTTATTTTTACGAGATTTTCCAGGACCATGCAGAAATGTTCATTCACACAGCGCCGTACCTGTACGTTTATTAATGCTCCTCGTTAGGCGCGCATCGTAGTCCGCATCGATTGAAAGATTTTGTTAGTCCTACATAATATCTTTTTAAAGGCGTAGAAGAATATGCGATTTTTCTTACGCGAAAAGTATACACATTATAGACTGTAACGCTAAACTCCGATGCATTCGCTAATCTGGCTCAAAATTATTCGGGAACTGCAAAACGTCTTTCATACTTTGAATATACCCCTCATTCGAGAATAAAATGCGAAAATGACGCGAGATGCTACCATACAAGAAAAGACAGCATATTCTGTGCATGCTTTCTATAAAATATATTTGAATTTATAAGGCTATCGAAAAGCAATGTGAAACATACGTAATATATAAGTAGTTATTTTTTACCGAGTGCAGTTTTTACAGAAGGTCGGAAAGAAACTCATTCAAAAGCCAACATCCTGGCCAGCCCGGAAATTACGAGATTGCGCCGCGTGATAATTAATATTGCAACCCCACCTAAGTAATCATTCCTAATCGAAAACGCATTTCAGAATCAAGGCTAACATTTAGTAAGATGGGTCACTGACTGTATATTGCTGGTTTCGTCATTCAACTATTATATCTTTGTCTAAAAACGCAGTAAAAGATCAACTAACTCTCTGTGTTCGCTGCTTGTTATTGTCTTTACTCAGAACGTGAACTAATTTCTGATCAAATATTATTTGTTTCAAAAAACGATTGTGGCTAGCTCCTCTAGAAAGATTTTATGTAAATGCGGAGGACGTAGTACTCTCCAGTCGCATGTTCTGTTGTTCTTTAAGATAATGAGGCTTTCACTTAGCACAGTTACTTTACTTACTGAGTGCTTACAAAACTGTTTTGGCTGCAGGACTTGGTCGCAAACGAATCAGTAGAGTTTTTGCGCGTAAATGTAGGACAAAACGAAAGACTTTATTATTGAGTTAAAGCAAGCGAGGCTAAAACCTTCTCTTGAATTTTAGTACATTTTAATTTTCCGCCATTCCCTGTTTTCCTATGTCAAGTATAAATGCAGACTTAACAAGCGTGGTTACTCGAAAGTGTTATTGGTTACTTTAAATTGTTCACTAAAAGTGTTCATACGTCAAAATAAGGATTGTCTTACTTTCAAATATATGGTCATTAGATCAGAATATGGGTAATACCTTCTTAGTTTTCAATTACTTTTAAAGAGATATGCATTACAATATATAATGGTAGAGGCTGTGCTCACCGATCTTTACTACGGAACTCACTCGTCCCATTGTGCCTTAGGGCCCTCTCTCGAGTTCAACCAGCAGACGCACAGCGGCGCATGATATAGATAAAATGATATTGCCGACAAGGACAAGGGAGACTGGAATTGCCATTTCTGGCTTATTAGCCGTCGTCAGCCAGTCATACCCAACCACGAAGTGTGCAAAACCTGGGGCTTGAACTCGCGACCTGTTAGTTAGAAGTCCAACGCATCTAACCACTATGCCACGGGCCGCTGTCTTGTTGGCTGCGATCATGCGCTGCTGTGAGGCTGTTGGTTGGACTCGAGAGAAAGCCCTAGGGCACAACGCGAGAAGTGAGTTCTGTAGAATTGATCGGTGAGCGCCCCCCCTACCATTGTATATTTCCGATCGCAACCGACAGGACAATGGGCCCGTGTCCCAGTGACTAGAGGCCTTGGACTTCTAACCAACAGGTCACGGGTTCGAGCTCCAGGTGTTACACACTTAGGGGTTGAGTATGACTGGCTGACGACGGCTCATAAGCCAGAAATGGTCATTGCGGTCTCCCTTATCTTAGTCGGTAATAACACGACAATATATAACTTGCGAAGATCAGAAGTACGTCCGAAAATCGTTCGTCTGTTTGTTACTTGTTAAATTAAACATTTTCTCTGTTCGACTACTATCGAAGTCATCAAGCGGAAATTTACTGGAAGTTAAAATTGCCGTCAGAAAATAATTGTGGACTCAAAATGAGAGATAAAAAGAGGCCCGACTGCATATTTGTACCGAAAGGGAAGTTTGAGGACGACAGCCGACTGATTTTTCCTTTAGTTCAAATGGAGTGATGGAAAAGCCTCCATTTTCAGACATTCAATGTTTAAGTGGCAAAATTTCATGCGTCACGGTTAATAAGAACGCAGAAATAAGTAAACAACGTGAGAGTTGTGGGCCGTAAATGACTTCTGGATGTAAGCCGTAAACGGTGTCATTAGGTTGCATGCATAACCAAAGGAGAATTCGGTCTCAAGTGAGCAAATAGCCGAATTTTCATCTGGTCAAAGAAGCATAATCATGTTTGAATGCAGAGAAAAGTAAGAACAACTCAAGTCTGACGAGCTATCAGCTGCATCAGAAGACAAAATTACGTATCTCGTATTGCTTAAACTTATGATTATATAATTTACTTATCGAATGGCCATAGTCGCCATCTTACGAACACAGACGGTTTTGATCGTTTGGCAAGTTGACGAGGTGCTACCTATCAAAAGTTCTTGGAGGAAGTGACAAAAGAAAAATTTCTTCATTGGTTAGCCAAAACCCAGTCTTCTAGCTGGTTTAAACTCCCGAAATCGCCGATAGACGGTTGGTATTTCAAAGTTGCTAGAGCACTGGGTAGCAAACTAAGACAGTTGAATATCACGATAATCAGTGTTTTTGTTTATGGTTATGAGTTGCGCATTTTATAACCCAGGACAGGATACACATACTTATTTGTCAATCTTGAATGAAAAATGGCAGTTACTAACACGGTAGACTTTTAAGACGACCCTGATCCCTTGTTCCAAATTAGACATTTATACCCAGCTTAATCCGGGCGGGTATATCGATACCTAAGCGCATGTCTTCCTCCGCAAATTCAATTCACCTGAAGCTAGATACTTCGACACTTCCATGTTTGCCAACAGAAGCGAAGAGACGAGTCCCAGGAAGCAGTCTTGAAGAAGAAGACACGCTCGCCGGGACAAAAGCTTTATTAGCCTGACGTTTGGGATTCCTGCTCGAATCCACCATCAGAGACATAAGCAGATAAGGGTGGTTCATGCACATGCGGCTGCAGTATTTATAGGATGCAGTAGCCATGCTACCGCATACCTATGAATATTCACGGCTTCCTCCCCTTCATCAGGGATCGTTGCACGTGGTGTGATGGCCGACATTCGCGTCGTTAATTGTTGCAATTTCATCACGTGCGGTGGATGTTGGTGCGATGATTGCTCGATCATCTGACGCGCTGACCCGAGTGTTGGGAAGAGTGTTCACCAGTGCGTTCCCCGCGTGGCCAATTACTCCGCCTAGACGAAGTCTCAGCACCGAGTATTGAATGGGAAGATCACTGCACTTGTAAATAGTCTGGGGGCCAGTAAATCATGAGTCAAGCAGCTCCCGGCTCACGCGGTTGTCATCTCTTGCAAGAATTTCGGCCTCGTCAAATTTGAGTGGGTGGCCGGAACCCGTCGAATGAGCCACAACTTGAGAGCTGGCGTCATTTCTGCTCACCGCTGCAGCGTGTTCGGCCATTCGCGTTTGGAGCTGTCTTCCGGTTTTTCATGTGCAATAACACCGACCGACAGACGCATGGCGAGACCTTAAGATACGGCTTTGGCCCGATTCTATGGCCACTCTAAGGTGCACAAAGACGGCGCTCCTCTTCAACCCATCGCGTCGCCCAAAGGTACTCCAACGTATGGACTGGCTAAGTGGCTGTTTTGGCGTCTCAAGTTCCTGACCGCTGAGTCAGACACCACGATCTCTTCGTCAGCAGAATTTCTGGAGAAACTCAAAGAGGTAAGCCTCCATCCAAATGAGGTCATGGTATCTTTTGATGTTACATCCCTTTTTACTTCTATCCCCCAGGACCTGGCGATCGAGACAATCGAGCTGCTACTACAAAGCAAATACGATGAAACGGAGAACCGTCGTAGACACGCCCAAGTTCTTCAGCTCCTTCAGCTCTGTCGAAGGACGAACTTCACGTTCGACGGGACAATCTACAAACAGATGAAGGGCACACCAATGTGTTCGCCGATTTCGGGGTTCATCGCCGAGGCGGTCCTGCAACGGTTAGAGTCGCTGATCTTCAAACACCACAAACCGAAGTTCTGGGCCCGGTATGTGGATGATACCTTCGTCGTCATCGACCGGGATCAACTGCTGACATTCAAAGAACGTCTGAATGCGGTCTTCCCGGACATACAATTTACGATGGAGGAGGAAGAGAACAACCAGCTGGCCTTCCTGGATGTCCTCGTATGTCGAAAGGATTGTGGTGGGTCAAAGACAAAAGTGTTCAGGAAAGCGACAAATACGATGCAAGTACTGAACTTCAACAGCAACCACCCAATCAGTCACAAACGCAGTTGTGTAAGGACGCTCTATCGGCGTGTCGAAACGCACTGCAGTGAGCCGGAAGACACGATTGCCGAACTGCAATACCTCCGACGGGCCTTTAAAGCCAATGGTTACCCGCACAACTTTGTCAACCGGTGCATACGCAAAATGGACGAAAGGCCTAACCGCACAAGCACCAAAGTTGGGCGAGCGCTTCCATATATCAAGAACGTTTCGGAAGCTGTTGGCCGCCTTCTCGCACCACTTGGGGTTGGAGTTGCACACAGGCCGGAGGCAACCATCAGGCGTCCGTTGATGAAACCAAAAGACCCAATGCCACGGCAAGAAACGTCTGGAGTCGCTTATCGGATCTGGTGCAGTTGCGGACAAAGCAAATACGTCGGAGAAACCGGAAGACAGCTCTTAACGAGAATGGCCGAACACGCTGCAGCGGTGAGCAGAAATGACGCCAGCTCTCAAGTTGTGGCTCATTCGACGGGTTCCGGCCACCCACTCAAATTTGACGAGGCCGAAATTCTTGCAAGAGATGACAACCGCGTGAGCCGGGAGCTGCTTGACTCATGGTTTACTGGCCCCCAGACTATTTACAAGTGCAGTGATCTTCCCATTCAATACTCGGTGCTGAGACTTCGTCTAGGCGGAGTAATTGGCCACGCGGGGAACGCACTGGTGAACACTCTTCCCAACACTCGGGTCGGCGCGTCAGATGATCGAGCAATCATCGCACCAACATCCACCGCACGTGATGAAATTGCAACAATTAACGACGCGAATGTCGGCCATCACACCACGTGCAACAATCCCTGATGAAGGGGAGGAAGCCGTGAATATTCATAGGTATGCGGTAGCATGGCTACTGCATCCTATAAATACTGCAGCCGCATGTGCATGAACCACCCTTATCTGCTTATGTCTCTGATGGTGGATTCGAGCAGGAATCCGAAACGTCAGGCTAATAAAGCTTTTGTCCCGGCGAGCGTGTCTTCTTCTTCAAGACTGCTTCCTGGGACTCGTCTCTTCGCTTCTATTGGCAGTAAAACATATGTACGAAATTATTTAATCAGCATAAACATGTTAAAAGCAAGTGGCATTACCGACAAAGACAAGGGAGACTTGAATGGCCATTTCCGGCTTATTAGCCGTCGTCAGCCAGTCATACCCAACCCCGAAGTGTGGAACGCCCGATGTTCGATCTCGCGGCCTTTAGTATTTTTATCTCCGCATTCCTTCAAAAATTAGGGCTAATTTGGTCATTTTTCGTACAGTTGCTTTGCGCATAAAGCAAAACTAATGAAATATCCAATGTGCACATATTATTTTAATTATCTGCAGCTTTGCATAAGAAGACTGTTGACCTTTAGACTAGAGTTTTTGGGACTGTTCATGATCTTATGCCAAACCGTCTATTTTTCAATCTTTTAATGCTAAGTGCGTCGTAAATTTCGCATTTAATTTCAGTCCATAACCGGATATTTCCATTCACCTTTTTCACTTCATACCTAAGGCACTCGCATAGCTACTAGTAATTTTAAATCGAAAAGTTTTACTGACAATGACAGGGAAGACTGTGACAACAGTCTGTTTTATTCGCCGTCATCGGCCATAGAACACTATCTCCAATGTGGTGCGCTACATCTTAGTTTGCTTTAACTGGTCGTCTAAATCTGAGGTGAAATGCACTGCCAACTGAACTATGGTCTCATTTTCGAAGCTTGCTTCCACAAATATGTCAGCCACATGTGAGCGAGCTTCAGGTGCTTATCAAGATTTTGCGACGCAATTGATCCCGTGAAAGGAATACAAACCCGAGTTTAAAATGTTAACCGAAAATGACTACGTTTTTTTAATTACCAAATCTACACAAACATTAACTTAAGATGGGCAGGACATTCACGTTGTAAAGGCAGAGGTTGTACGCCTACAACACAAACGGGGAAGCTTTCGACTTATAAACGGCTGATTAAGAAATTTCTTGGGCTTGAATGTTAGCCACAGGTGTGCAGCTGAGGCAGGTCCCCTCAGGATCAGTTGTAAGGTAAGAAATTATTATTAAATCTTCAACGAAATACTGTTTGTTGTGTAATATGGAACTGACAAGGGACTTTGCGCAGTCATTTGTTCACTTCAGCTCTCGCGACGATAACGGACAATGAAAAAATA